AATTACAAACAAACAAACAATACAGCAATAAAGTTCGGAAGAGGGACTACGGAGTTTGACACCAAAAGCAAGCATGACGCTCCAAAAGTACAGAAACTTTATTTGACAGAAAACATACTTAACTTTATTGGATTTTGTTTTCAAATTTGGTACACTGATAGATCTTTACAATTCCCAATTAGGTATCAAGTTTGGTCTAAATATAAGCCACATGTGCAAAATTATTCAACGAAAAACGTCACATGAGCTATCGGTCTAACATATTTACTACAGCTTCACCTAAAAGTAAAAGTCGACCGTTTTTAATTATTTGTCATTCGGATTAAAAATGGCTGGTTTAGAGCATCAAAACTATAGGGTGGAAGTACGTGCAGATACATAAGTATTGGTTAAGCCAAACAAACTACATTAACAGTTTCTAGCTCAAGTTTTCAAAAGAAGCATACGGATGGACGGTTATTATTCATTGCTAACGTTTAAACATAAATTTGCTAAAGTTTTGAAGATAAAAGAAAGGAAAATAATACTTTCTTCCATCTTAGAATTACGGATTGTCTATTATTACTAAGAAAGTTCCATAATGATATTTCTTTGTAATTTTTATTTTGATAACTGAAGTAATCACCAATTCCGGTTACGTACATAAAAATACCTAGCATATACTGACATTAATTTACTGGCGACCTAAGAGCTGACTTTTCAAAATATTCTGTGAAGAATACTGATAAGGTAAACACAGAGAAGGTTCTGAACAAGACTTGTAATGGAAACGCCGAGACGAACAGTGTAGTTGATGAGGAAGAATTACAAAGGAAGCGTCAAGACGAGTGTAGTTGATGAGGAAGACCTATAAAGAAAACATCGAGACGAGAAGGGGAGATGATGTGGAAGACTTGCAAAAGAAACGTCGAGACAAGCAGAGGAGTTGATTTGGTAGACTTATGAAAGAAATGTCAAACACATTCTAGGTTCCGAGTAACATTGATACCAAAACGACGAATAAATTAAAACTCTTAAGGATATCTTATAAGCGAAATGACAAATGAACTAACAGTTCTGATGAAAAGGATACTTTAATTTGAACAGAGATTCTTAATAAAAAAATACAATATTTTTCATTGAGCATTAAAGTAATAAATATCCCCATAAGATGTTTCGAAGGGAATTATTCTAACTGAGCATCTTAAATAATAGCGTTTTATGGAAAATTATCTATCTTTTAAACCTTGTCATATATTTTAATGAAAATATTACAACAGTACGTTCTCCTGGTTTGATATTTCAAGTAAAATGTTTTAGCAACGTATCGCGTAATATAATATTCTATACAAATGTGTAAGGTACATTATAATATAATATTCTATACAAATGTGTAAGGTACATTATTTTGTTACGGAACAAGTCTCGTTCAGGTTGAGTTTTATCATCAATGGAAAAACAAAACAAATTTCTTCTACTTCTCGCTATGAGGCGCTGATGATGCAAAGAAAAGCGTTTAGTGAAGCCGGCCGCTGTTGAATTGCTTTCGAAGTTACTGATGTTTAAGGTAGCAGCACGTGTCACACAGGTATAAACAATTACCTGCTTGTAAAAACGTGTATCCAGTCATTGTAAGTATATTTCTAGAATGTAAAAAATGCAGGAATTAAAACCATTTGGAATGATCATTAATTAACTGAAAAGTTAGCAGTGAATGATGTGATATGAGTATTATAATAAATAGAAAAATGAGCCTCACCCTGTTTCTGTCAAATATTCTGTGTGTGTGTGAATATGTTCATGTTCTGTGATTCTGGAGGTACTTATCTGTGTATAAGGTTCTTACTCGTGCTATAACTACTGATTGCAAACTTGCGTAGTTTTTATAACGGCATAGAATTAACGTTGTATAAGTTTGTATGTGTATATATGAAAGTTGTCAATTATTCTACGTAACTTATGTAGTTTTTATAATGGTATTAACGTACAAGTTTCTATAAGATAGTAATGTAGTTAAAAACTTGTAAATAATTACAATTGTCAGAAAGGTAAATTAGGTTATCATTTCCTCCAAATATCTATATCTTTTGGAATCAGTTAAGGTTTCTCAATCCCTGGTCTTACATTTAATTTGTTCTAACTCGTGTGTGTTCCTCTGTACTCCTTAGAATAAAAGAATTGTAATACAAGTGAAAAAATATCATAAGTAAACGGCCTTTAATAGTAAGAAGTTTATACTAAAGACTTTATTATTTAACCCACTCTTTTACATTTTCATGATCAGTCTTCCTTTAATCTTATCTGATTGATTGGCTGGCATGTACCTTTCACGAGGCTATAACATCGACTCAAACAAACGTATTGTTTTGAACATTGGAGGTATCAGGTTTGAAACTTACAAGACGACTCTGAAAAAAATAGCAGCTACTAGACTCTCTAGATTAACCGAAGCCTTGGCGAACTACGACCCTGTGTTGAATGAATACTTTTTCGACCGACACCCAGGAGTGTTTACCCATGTTCTTAATTATTATCGGATAGGAAAGCTTCATTATCCCACCAACGTATGCGGCCCTCTATTTGAAGAAGAGTTGGATTTCTGGGGGTTAGATGCCAATCAGGTGGAGCCTTGCTGCTGGATGACCTACACTGTGCACAGGGAGACACAAGCCACTCTAGCGATTTTAGATTCTCTCGATGTGGCCTTTGATAAACTAAGTGATGAGGGTCTAGCCAAAAAGTTTGGGTACGAAGATGATTTTTTTTCTGGAAAAGTAACTCACTGGCAGAAAGTCAAACCAAAAATTTGGTTGATGTTTGCAGAACCATACTCATCACTAGCAGCAAAGGTTAGAATAGTTTATTGTAAAATGTTTAAGAACACGTAAGAATAGTTAATATTACATGTTACGCTAATCTTCCTCTGTATATAATAAGATCAAACTAGTATTAAATGTTCTATAAATGTTACACTTTAGTATAAATAAACTGGTATTGAAAGCAATATAATTGTAATTGTACAATATGAAAAATTTGTATTGAAAGCAGTAGAGTTATTACTGTGTGACACGATCAAACGTATGTTGAAAGTAGTAGAGCTATTGCTGTGTAATATGATCAAACGTATGTTGAAAGTAGTAGAACTGTTACTGTATAATATGATCAAATGTATGTTGAAAGTAGTAGAACTGTTACTGTATAATATGATCAAACGTATGTTTATGATCAAACGTATGTTGAAAGTAGTAGAACTGTTACTGTATAATATGTATGTTGAAAGTAGTAGAACTGTTACTGTATAATATGATCAAATGTATGTGAGAAGTAGTAGAACTGTTACTGTATAATATGATCAAATGTATGTGAGAAGTAGTAGAGCTATTACTGTGTAATACGATCAAACGTATGTTGAAAGTAGTAGAGCTATTACTGTGTAATACGATCAAACGTATGTTGAAAGTAGTAGAACTATTACTGTATAATATGATCAAATGTATGTTGAAAGTAGTAGAACTATTACTGTATAATATGATCAAACGTATGTTGAAAGTAGTAGAACTATTACCCAATGTGTCTGAGGAACAGCTTGTTTAATTGTATTTGATTTTCATTACAAAGATAAGATATGTCTGTGTTATCTTTGGATAACTTGTTGATCTTCTTTTCAATAATGTATCTGAGGAGCAGTTTGTGGTTGATTTTCATTACAAAGGTAAGATATGTCTGTGTTATATTTGGATATCTTGTTGATCTTCTTCTCACTAATGTATCTGAGGAGCAGCTTGTGTAATTGTGGTTGATTTTCATTACAAAGATAAGATATGTCTGTGTTCTCTTTGGATAACTTGTTGACCTTCCTCTCACTAATATGTCTGAGGAGCAGCTTGTGTAATTGTGGTTTAATTTCTTTTCAAGGGTATGATTCTTCTGTGTTATCATGTTGACTAATTGCTAGTAAAAACTTTCTGGACTCAACGGTTAATCTGAAAGCCCGTAACACTAAAAAAACCGGGTTTCAGTACTCGTGGTGGCCACAACGCAGATATCCTATTGTGTAGCTTTGCATTTAACAGCAAACAAACTAACGAAATATCTATTGTTTCACTTCGGCTTTGTGCTGTTGAATGGTCTAAATTGGCTGTGAAACAAATATATAGGCAAGAGTCGTACTTGGCAATATGCCGTGCATTAGCATCTTTGTGCAAACGTTCATCCATATCTTACGTTAGATAAGTCAAGCCCTGAATGACACCCATCTTTCAGATTGTAAGGCAGTCCAGATAAGTAAATGACCTGAAGAATATTTCAAATCAAGAATAACAATAATGAAAATTAAAAGAAAAAAGGAATCCACAGTAAATATATGTGTATATGTGTTTGCAATAATAAATTAAAGGGATAACAGCTAGCCAACAACACCCACAATAAAAGTTTGAGCCACTCTGATCGATTATTGGGACTTAACCGTTACTCTTATAATAGACTCAAGGCCCCAAAGTGTAAAGAGCAATTCTGAGAAAACAAGACGTGAGCCATGATCCTCGAATTTACAGTCTCGCAAGGTAAGCGCCAAATAAAAATCAGCCCATTAAAAAATAATTTAGGGTTATAAGTAAAAATAAAAATATAATAGATTGTGATGCACTACAGCAAAGAATTATTTGGAGACACAACATGGAACTTGACAGGGATGTAAATGAATAGGATTGCCGCAATTCCCGTTCCCTCAGTAATTATGAGATGTGACTGGAAGTTTGTGAACTTTTTGCTTGTGAACTCTCGTCAACTTCAAATACTTATTAATTATATTGTTACTGATATTAAGAAGAAGACTCTTGACAACAAATTTCACATTGTGGATAAGATAGTTACTCCTTATTGGTTTGGGATGGAGTCAGTTACTAACCTAAACGAACTTCATGTGCGAGTTTTTCTGCTTCTGTGGAGAACATCGTTTGGCAATCTTGTTGTAAGTGTATTTCTCTTTAGATATACTATTTTACTATCGAGAATACCTACAAACCGACGCTTTGTAAAGCATGTCGCTCGTAACATTACTGTAGTCACATATACACGTAATTTAATAGGTTGGAAACTTTTCAGAAAAGGAAGTAAATGTAGGGATGGCTAATATCAATCCTTCAAAAACAATGCTAACAAGATAGTATGGATGGCATTGTTGGCATCGTTTTTCAAGGATTGATATTAGCTATCCCTACATTTACTTCCTTTTTTTTGAAAAGTTTTTTCTTTACTTGTTTGCTTATTTTAATAATGCGGTGTTTTAATATACATAGGAAGGTTGTATTTATAATCAAATTCTAAATACAATGGAGGTTCCAACGGTAATATTTATTGGTTATCTATTATTGGCTGGTAATTCCTGTTTCACCCTGCACTTAAGTTTTTAAAGGAACACCAAATTTTTATAAAAAAAACTAACTTCAACGGGTAATGATAACATCGTTTACACTAGAATTATAATTATTTTATTACTATTAATTATTAATAATACTTATAAAAGCTGATACTCCATTTGAAACTATGTCACCTCAGTGAAACTAGTTGACACATTTGTTTAGGTTTTTGAGTTATCATGTAATAAAAAGAAGCAGAAGAAAGAAGAGCAAGAGATTCAAACTTTTTGCTGTGATATTTACAGACATTCACAGAATTTGTTACTCAGTCATTACATAGATATTGTTCTAAAGGAAACACTGTATAGTACTGTAAAGTTCTGATGACCTGGTGATAAGTTGAAATGTTATAGTACTTAAAAATGGAAGCAAGCTAAAAAAGTTGTAATATCAGAGCTTCCGTGTATCTCTGGTTAAGCCCCCACCCCCAGTGGCACAACGGTATGTTTGAAGACTCACATCGCTAAAAACCGGTTTCTATACTTGTGGTGGGCAGAACACAGATAATCCATGGTGTAGCTTTGTGCTTATGCTACAAACAAACAAACAAATCACTGGTGAAAAATATCAATGAAAATAATTTATATACTGAGTATGGCCCACATTTAACTCTAGTGAAAATTTTATGAGTATGTTTCAGATTTTTGAAAATGTGAGATTCGAATATTTTTTTCTTTTTCTTTTCTATATCAAAATCATAACAATGTGGGATACTCACTATAGATATCTCATTAAAAACTTTGTTTGCTGAATTTCGCGTAGTCATCTCTAAATTAGAATGTGAAGGACCAGAGGGAAAGTAGCTAATTACAGCCAACTCTTGGGCTACTTTAATCGAAAAGAGGGATTGACATTATAACGTCCCCATGGCTGAAACGGCGAGTATGTTCTTGATTCGAACCAGCGACCCTCAGGTTGCGAGTCGAACGTCCTAACCACCAGGCCATATCAGATCCATTAAAGAGGACACAAGTAAGGGAACAAAAAATCCAAGTGCGATGTAGGGATAGCAATGCTAAAAAGTACAGAATCGAGGTAGGGATGATTACACAAAACCATACAAAACTTCTTAAATAAATAGCCAGTAATTACTGAGTCAATCTTACAAGTTTATGGTCATTAGCCATTGTAAGACTGTATAGCATTTTTCAATTTAAATGCTTTATTCACACCTGATCTCATGCAACTGACAGTAATTCAACACTTATTTGTAGTTAAAAGTTATTCTTGGAAAGATTTAGCCACTAATATAGTTTTGTTTTATGGTTTTGTGCATTCATCCCAAACCTGTTCCTGTATTTTTGGGCATTGTCATCTCTACATCCTACTTAATTTAGAAAAACATTTTGTATTACTTCTTTCCCCACTCTCTTTTAAACAATTTCATTGAAGTAGATTGACAAGTGAACAATTGTCTTATTTTTATAATTATATATTGTTAATATTATATTACTTTTGTCAGTTTCTCTAATTTTGGATTACATTCATCCAGGACGGTACAAATACTGCAAAGCGCTGGACCGACGTTAAACGGATATTTACAGAACCAACGCCTTTCAACTTCACCCCAACTCACTACATGTGTATACAATCGACTCCACCACATGCTAGGGTCATGTCGATTAATGGATAGGACATTACACATATCTAAGGCTATGAAGTATAATATTACGCATACACACATCTGCCAGACTCGGCCACACTAAAAATCTGAAGAAAAGTAAACCGCTATGTAATGTATTGTTTTGATAATTAAGAAACTATTGTTATTTAAACTCAGACATCAATAACATGTACACAAGTCTGTAAGTTGCATAAATACTTGATCACCTTGAATATTAATTCGGGTTATTCATTCTTTATTTATTTATTCTTATTTAATATGTTTCGCAAATATCATGTTTGTGGAATGAAAAGTCACAAAATGGTCGTTATAAGAACAACCTGTACTGCTATCTAGCGACCAGAAATGAAACTGTTATTTATGAAACATGGAAATAATATATGCATATAAACTGAACTCCTTTTTATTATTTCCCCACAAATATACGTGTGGTAGAACAGAATATTATTACTGTTATATAAGCTGTGAAACACTCGATAATGGCAATTAGATGCTCAAATATGGCTATAACTCAACTTTAGTAGTTTTTTGTAAGCATCATAGAGTAACATATTGAATGCGGTGACCATTATTTTCTCGACCCACCCCTATACACTAAGCACTACTTAGTTACAAACATGTCCTGTAGGTTGAATATAAATCATTCTCACAATATTCGAGTAATAATTCTTTCTTTTTTTCCCACACATCGATCTCAATATATCCAGTATTGCAACACAGAAGATGAAGAGAAATTCAATAATGTTTGATTAATTGCAACCTAAATACCAAACGAATATTATGAAGTTGTTTCAGAAAAATAAAAAAATATATGTTTGAAGTACACAGTCACCCTAAGAATTTATTAGACACAAAAAAATACACTTGCAACATTTTAATCAAAAAGTAAGATGAGGAAAAACTGAAGTTAAAGTGTTATTATATAAAGACGGTTTAGGGACACGACTTAGTGATATAAAGTGAAACGAAATCGGTGATATTTTTCTCGATTGGGAAAAATATCTAAGTCGCAATTTAAAAGTCGGACAAACACGGATTAGTTTTTTCGTGAATTGGTAAACGACTTCTGAAAATGAAGTTGAATTGAAGTCGCGCACGTATGCTGTATAAGCCCTTGTAATAAACAAGCTTACTATGCGTTACCTGGCAATTATTACCTTCTAACTTGAACTCAAGGATAACATTTCCGGTACACAGTTTGTTAATTTTTTCTTTCAGAAGAACAGTTTCAATTTCATGTTTTATGTAAAACTTTTTCAAGTAATCATATCATGAATTACTTTAAATACAGCGATTTAGATGTGATTTTGTAGTGAACAACATGTGCGATTTTTCCAGAGCTTCTCAACAGTTTCTTTCTGGGCGTGTATAACAAACATTAAGATAAAATGGACTCAGGTGCAGTATCATCTAATGTGATTTAAGGTAAAGAGTACACACACAACAGAATTACTCTATTCATAACTTTATATTCCAAGTTGCTCATATTTTTGTTATTTTAGCTTAAAAAGTGAAACAACTTGATTAAACTATGTCTTTCTTATCAACATCGCATACCTTGAGTTCGTGGTCAAATCACATAAATTTAATGAGCATATCAGTGAAACTGGGTGTTCAATTAGGTTCCTATACAAAATATGATAATGTGGTTCTTCACTATAAGAAACACCCTTTTAAAAAGTTACAAAACAGCATAATATAAGACGTATGTATGTATAATCTTACAAAGTATTGTAGGAAATGATTTCATTGCAAGATCATAAACCATTTAAAATTTGTTCGTTAGTCAATTAGTTCTTTCGAAGATTGATTATAAAGTTATTTAAGTTAAGTTCCGCTAATACGTATCTCAGACAAATTAGAATCGCTTTATGAAAAGCTTATAATGGACAACTTATAAAAACCAACATGTTACAACATATGTGTAACTTGTAACAAACAACATTTAACAAGTTTATAACAGCCAGCGTATATAAACCAACATATAACAACCAGATTATAACAAACAACATATGACGACAAGCTTATAGCAACCAGCTTACAACAGCCAGTTATAATGGACAACTTATAACAACCAACATGTTACAACATATGTGTAACTTGTAACAAACAACATTTAACAAGTTTATAACAGCCAGCGTATAATAGCGAGCTTATATAAACCAACATATAACAACCAGCTTATAACAAACAACATATGACGACAAGCTTATAGCAACCAGCTTACAACAGCCAGATTATAGTGGACAACTTATAACAAACAGCAACAATCAACACTGTAATGAGTATATCTAAGTTTATTACTAACTACGTAAATCATAACTGTTATGATTATAGCTAAGTTTACTATAAAAAGTATATAAATAGACCACAATTAAACCTCAACCTTCTAATGGAAATAGCGTAATCTGAAAACCAACTGAACAATGAGTAAAGTCTAGATCACTTAATGAAGATATGACGTTATAATACAATTTACACTAAGTGTGTTTTATTAGTATGTTAAATATGTTGTTAAAGTTTAGATTACTTAATGAAGATATGATGTTATAATAGAGTTTACACTACGTATGTTTTATTAGTATGTTAAATATTTTGTTAAAGTTTAGATCACTTTATGAAGATATGATGTTATAATACATTTTACACTACTTATCTATACTATTGTTCTGCTTGTTTGTATGTACGACCGTTATGCTTTCTCACCGAGAACCTGCTGCATAAGCATGCGTAGTTAGAATGTTCCCCCAAGGAAAAACCACGCATGCGCATTATTCACTCGACGAC